GTTGAGTCCGCCTGCCGATGCAGGGGACACGGGTTCGTGCCCTGGTCCGGGAAGATCCCACATGCCGCAGAGCTGATGGGCCCGTGAGCCATGGCCGCTAAGCCTGCGCGTCCAGAGCCTGTGCTCCGCAACGGGAGAGATCACAGCAGTGAAAAAAAAAAAAAAAAAAAAAAAAAAAAAAAAAAAAAAATGACCCAAGATCATAAAACCAGTAATTATGTCTGGAATCAGTCAAAATGAAACTTAGTAGGAATTTAAAGCATTCTTAGCAGGTAATGGAGTAGCAAAAAAGTTAACAACATTTACCAAATCTGTATTCCATTCCCCACTCAGCCTCTGGATTACTGTGAGGGTCCTGGGAAAAGCTCATGTCTGTCTGCCTCATGAGTACAGCAAAGTACTCACACTCTCAGAAAACAGTTTTCTAGAACACAAAATATGCTATGCCTCTACCACCTTAGACAAAATTACTTCCCCACAGCTACCAAATTTATCAGGTTATAGGAGTTAAATTTTTTTTTTCCTAATTTCCAACCAAGTCTGTCTCAGCAGTTCCCCTTAAACAGAGATTTTTCAATTCCAGGTTCCTTTTTTCCTCCCTTCCTGAAGTAATGCCCAGCTTAGTCTTTTACCAATATAATTTCCATGGCACTCTTCTGAATCAACTTTTCACATAAAAGTTAGGGTGTTTTGTCCCTTAAAGTTATACCATAACCTTTTAAAATTCCTCATTAATCGGCAAAACCTAAGTCTTAAACTATGACAAAAAAGCCATCAACCACAGAGGTTCCCCCCACCCCTTATGTAAGAAAAGAGGGTGGCACAGTAATCTAAGGGAGCACCTTTAGAAACAAACGTGAAAATTAGAGAATATGTCAACTAAACAACTAAGGAAGTTCTTTTGGAATGTAGGTTAAAATTACTTTAGTGCCACTGCCTCCAACTGTAGACTCATCCTCCTGAGAACTCGAATTTAGGGCAAGCAAGCCTCCCCCTCCTGAGAATGCTAATTCAGGGTCTTGAATCCTCATCTGCCTGCGCAGTCACAGGATACATGAGACTGTGTCAGGTATAAAAGGAACTTTATGCAGAGTGGAAAAGTTCATCTTTCCTTTCACTCCCCAGTACTGACCTGTGAATCCCACCGTCTAAGATTTTCTTCCAATTCTGCCACTCCATTCACCCCTGTACTGACTACACACAAGCCTGCTTTCATGCCTCGCTCATGCTGCATTTCCACCTGGAATCCCTCCCCATCACTTCGACCTATGTAGATCTTAGATATCCTTTTAGGTCCAGCTGAAGTCCTAGTGAGTCTTCCATGCCAGTGCCAGGCTACACTGATTTCTCGCCCTCAAATTACTTTTGCATTTATGCAAACTTCAATTATGTTATATAATCATAGTTTTTTAAAAGCAGTCTAGTGCAATGTCCCTTCTGAAACAGCATTTCCCACTATGCTTGAACAAATCTAAACACTCCCTAGTGACAGAAATATTCAGAAAGTAGACAATTCCAGTGTTGGTCAAACTAAATTGTTCTTTTCTGAAACATGAGTCTATACCCTCTTTGCACGTGGCTTCAAATATCTGAAGGTAACTATCACTCATATCTCCCTAACTTTCCCTTTCTCCAAGCTAAACAGCTTTAACTATTTCAACTGTTCCTCCAATGTCCTGGTTTCTAGATTCCTTGTCACCTTAGTTGCCCTCCTCTGAATTAACTCTAGTTTGCAAATGTACCACTTGTGGTCCCCAGAACTGAATCAACGTTCCATGTAGGGTCAGACCAGTAGTCATAGCTTAATTCTCCTGATTGGACTGCCACATGTAACACAAGAAGCATGTTTTGCTTTTGCTAACAGCACTTTGTTCAGACTGAGTCCATAAGGTCTTTTTGCATAGAGAGGTAATTCCCCCACGTTCTTCTGTTTTGATAAAATAGTTTAAGTATATAACTTTATACTTTCCACACTGAATTTAATCTTGCTGGCTTTGACAATAACTCTGAATCTTAATTCTGTTCTCTACTGTACTGAATCATCTACAAAAATAAGCACACCTTCTGATACGGCTTTAGCTCTACTGCCAGATACTGACCAGAAGAACTATGACATGATGCTAGAGACTTCCCTCCAGGTCGACAAATGATCCATTTGTCATGGCAAATGTTCAAAGACCCTGCTTACATCAGATATGTTGTCTATATCATTCTTCCTATCCCAGGGGTTGGCAAACTTTTTCTGTGAAGGACCAGACAGTAAATATTTTTGGCTTTGTGGGCTATATGGTCTCAGCGGCAGGTACTCAACTCAGCCAGTGTAGTACAGAAGCAGTCATGGGCAGTATGTAAACAAATGGGTATGGCTATGTTCCAACAAAACTTTATTTACAAAGACAGCTGGCGAGCCGTTGCCTGTGGACCCTGCAAATCTGCTGTCTGATAAGGCTAACAAAAGAGAACCATGGTGAGTTTGGAATAATCTTTTCTTAATAAACTCTGCTTTATGTGCTTAAAACCTACTTATCAAATAATCTGTCCTGGAACTTTACTGATGATTACCAGTTTACAGTGTCTAGAATTTATTCTTTTTATTATCTTTTTGAAAAGTGGAATAATGTTCTGCCCATCCTCAGTTTCCTTATACCTCTCCACCCTCCATGATTTTTCTCAGAATAATAGTGGCTCTATAAATAAATCTGCTACAACTATTCTTCTGATATTAAAGGACAGAAGTTGTCAGAACCTAGAAACTTGAACTTATTTAAAAAAGACGACCTGCTCTCTCTTCTCTCACCTACCTTAGCTTTAATTCTCTCTTTCTGATGTTATTTCTATCTTTTTCTTTTTGAAAATCATTTTCCATCTGGAAAAGGCAGAAGTGAAACATGAGCTAAGGAGTCTGCCCTTCTCTCTAGCACTTGCTAGCATTACAGTATCTTCTCCAAGTTATTCTTCTAACAGAAAAACAAATGACCTCTTAGTTGCCAAAGACTCAGTTCATTTTTCATTTTAGTCTATTACTGTTTCTTAGTCGTTCTTGGTTATATTCCGTTTCTTTACATTTTCACACTGATTTTTTTTTAATTCTTGTAGAATCATATTGAGTTCTTCCTTCTATTCTTACTGAAATTATTTGCAACTGTGTGACCAGAACTTCCTTTTCAGAACCTCACAGAACTCAACACACTCCTTTTAAGAGTCTCAGGCTATGAAATCTGCAGATCCTGAGCCTAAGCATGTCTGATGACGAACACCACTACTTTCAATCACTATTCTGCATCAGACACTGTCTTATTCACTAATTCCCAAGTGACTGATGTCCATCAGAGACCCTACCTTAAACTTTTTGAGTAGAGTACTTAGCACAGTGCTAGCCCTGTATTAAATGCATAACAAAACAAAATTGGAAATCAATGGAACAGAAATATTTTCTGTGTTCTGTGTTCTCAGGGAACCCAAAAATCAAAGGAAACAAGACAAACTGATCAATTATTAATAGCAAAGATAGGTAAATGAATGTAGGCCCCGAAACTTCCTTACTATACTTGTCAAAGTCTTTCTTAGAAAACAATTATAAGTAACCTGGAAATGTTTTTTAAAGTTCTTATGATTCACCTGTTAAATTCCAATAAGTTTCCCTGTACACTTCTAAACTTCTCAGGTAGGTCACAGGGAGGGGAGGGCAAGGAATAAGGAGAGAGTAAAGCATGAAATAGTAACTTCAAGCAAAGCAGTAACATTTTTGGACAAATTTTCTGAAACACTGACTATACTACATGCTGTTTTTAATTATCCATTCTACTTGAGAAAAACAGACATTTGGATCATTCAAAAACAGAAAAATCATTTCAGGGAATTCCCTGGCAGTCCAGTGGTTAGGACTCCGGGCTCTCACTGCCAAGGGCCCAGGTTCAATCCCTGTTCAGGAAACTAAGATCTCAAGAGCCACACAGCGCGGCCAAAAAAAAAAAAAAAAAAAAAAAAAATCATTTCACCTGGTTTTCTAATTCTTTCAGGAAAATTACCTTATTAATTATATTTCATGTGGACTAATGATCAAAAGTGTTTTGCAACCCCAAGCTCACATTAACTGACAGGCAAAAGAATCCATAAACATGTTAAATAGGAGAGAAGTCAGCCTAAAATGAAAAAACCACCACCTACCACTGATAACTCATAAGTGGATAACTATGGAAAGCAAATACTTCAAGGTCATGAGCTCTGAAATAGGACTACATGGATTCAAATTCTGAGTCTCCCATACTAGCTGAGTGCCCTTAAATAAGATATTTAACTTTTCTGTGCTCAGTTTCCTCAGGTATAAAATAGGTAATAGTATATACCTTACCAAGTTGTTTCGAGGATTCAATAAGCTAAATCCTGTTTGGGCTTAAAACAATAACTAGTTCGTAATAAGCACTCAAAAATGGATTTTCTCATTATAGATATTTTTAATGATATTTTACATAAGGTACAAGATCCATATAAACACATCCTCCCAATTTCATACAACTTTATTCAACTTTCTATTGACTGAGCCTAATAATTAATGAGTTATCATCCTTAATTGGAAAAGATCTTTGTTTCCAAGTTCAAGAAATTTTGCTAACTTACAGGTATCATCCTTTTGGACAACAACATAATTTGGGGGAAAGTAATTCACGAGATCAACCATGTTTAATCCATTCTAATCAGATAAGCTCTAAATTCACTTTAAAGTTGATCACCCATTTTAAGTTTAAGCAGGCTACTCTCTAAATACTACTATCACTTTACTGGTCAAAAGCCCTTCCTTGTCAACAAGACTCTCTCCTTCTAAGGACACACCCATCATCAGAATAACATCTCGAGCTTGCAAAGTCAATGGTTCAATTACAACTAGAATGTCTGGGCAACAACAGGCACAAAGCCCTAGGTACCAGTGGAGAAATCCTGGGACGGTTCTCTCCATTTAATGTCTTACTCATTGTGTATCAGACAGCAAAGCCACTTCCTTGGACACAAAATGCCTAGTCATTTTGAAGTCAGGGGCCTAGAGTCACTATCCACCTTAAATACATCAGAGCAGCTCCATGAAATCACCGAAGGCTGCTACTGCCCACATGTAAGGGAATGCAGTGAAAATCCAAACGAGAAACAAATCACAGGTCACTATATTCCAAAAGAAACAGGATTTTTTTCCCTCATCTGCAGAACAAAAGTCTTCAAAGAAAGAAGTGAGTGTAAAGGTCTCTTAACTTCCTGATAGAAAACTAAAGCTCAACAAGTTGGCAATAAAATTGAATTACACTACCAATAAACTGTATGGATGCATTCCTATGTTCCCTCACTCCAACCAAAAAAAAAACTTTCACGCAGCATTTCAGGTAAAAGAAGGCAATCCACTTGTAGCACTTACCTGCAGCTTGTCCAGTCTTCGCCAGGAGAGACCCCAGTTCCAGGATGCTCTGCTCTTTGACCTGCACTGCCTCCTCATCATTCTCCTGAATGTCACGCTTCACTGGGAGAGGAAAATGCGAGCTCTCTTAAAATTCTGACAAAAAATGAAAACTAAGGGAAATTTCGCCCTCACAAGACCAACTACAAACTCAAACAGTTAGCAAAAGACAAATTCTAGAGAGCTTTAAAAAAAAAAACTCTAAACAAGAAAAAGTAAAGTGATCATGCAGCACATGTCCCATGTATATCATAAGAATAGATTCCTCTCTTTTGATTTTAAATGTGCATTTTCATTCTACCGATTAGAATTTCCCTTACCCACATACATTGAGATTTCTGTTGCTGTCACTTGCTTAATGCAAAATTCAAACAACTTCTTCCAGCTGTGGTGGTAAGCCCCATGCCAGGAACTATGTTATGTGAAAATATTAAACATGCCTGTCTGTGCATTTACCTGCCACAAACTAAAATCAAATGACCAAGTTACTGATAACTATAAAGTCAAAAGTCTTTCAATAAACTTTAGGCCTGTGGAGAGCCTCAGCTGATGGGTGTGTCAGGGATAAATAATTCTACAAAGCCATTCAGGAAACATAACCCTGTCAAAGCTCCAGTGTGATCCTTAGGAGGGAATGCTACTTTAAGGGATTCAGGACCTGTTAAAATAACTTTGTGCTATGTGTCCCACTTGCAACTGTTAATAACTATTCTACCACTCAAACACTGGACAGCCTCTTCAAGTTTGTAGTGATAATTTTAGCAATCATCACTAGTTATCACTTCTCTCACAAAGCATCATGACTTGACAAAAACCAAGATTTTGATACTCCATGATGGAGTCCAGAAAAAGTAAGGCTGTCAACCATCATGACTCAAGCTTGTTCTAACAGGAAAGCTTTCAAGGGAACTCTCTCCTAATATAGTGGGCAAGCAAGAAATACTCTAATTATAATGTTTACCATAATTCGCACTTTATAAAAGACAACGTATTAGGCAATAGGCACAAAAAATAAAATAAAATCCATGCTTCTCACATTAGTTCTAAATATTAGTGTGTATTCACAGGAAGAAAATACACATTGAAAATGACTCTGGTTCTTAACTATAACTGACTTAAGATCAGAACTTCAGAAGGAAATATCAATATAATCCATTCACTGATGCATCTTAACCCCCACTCCCTCCCTTTTTCTAGTAACCCCAAAGATAAAGACATCAAGATCTTGTCACTGTCCTTCCTCCATGAAAATCGGGAGTACCAAAATTCGACGGACTAATGAGTCGACATAAAAGCCAACAGCCTTGAGTTCCCACATACACGTGCAAACTACTTGTTGATTCAACCCGAATCTTCTCAAGCTACATTAAAAAAGATCACACTACTACATGTGCATTGAAGAGCGAGCCCATGCCCTAACTGAACCCTTGATGGCTGAACATTAAACGCCCTCTCTGTCATCATAAATTTATTTCTGGTCACACCTGAATCCCAGAAGAAAACTGTCGGAAGCGACGGGCTCCGGCTCCCATTTCAGTTTTCCAGCCGTGTGCAAGGTGTAAGGCAATCATACTACAGTGCTAACATGTTTTTCTTTGATTTTCTCCAGCAACGTGCAGCCGGCCGGTTCCAAAGAGTTCCCAGAACTCCGCGGCTGACAACTAACTCCCCGAACTCTCTTCCACCCTCTACGGCAGACTAGGACGATTAGTCACCTCCTCTGGCCGGGCGATCCCACGCCAACACCTAGCTCTTACACCCTACACGGGGGGCAAAGGAACGTCTCGGTCACCTCCCCAAACCAAATACCAATTCGAGGTGTGTGTCCCCTCGGTATTTCAAACCACACTCAGAAAGAGACCCCCTGAAGTGGAGCCTTCCGCGGAGGGGCTGCGAGAAGTAGCAGCTCCCAGCGCCCCGGGGAAGGAAACTCCAAGAGAAGAACGAGCGCTTGCGCTCGCGCTCCCACCCGAGCAGGCTGGGCTGAGAACAACGGCGGGAAATGCCTGTCCAGAGCGGGTTTCGCCAAGGCCCTCAACTCAAGGCGCTCAGCCCAGTTCGCGACCAGCCCACCGGCAGCACCGCTCGCGGTCCCGGGCCAGCCCGCACGGGCCAGAGCGGGAGACAAGGCTGGGTAGTGGTGGGGCCCCGGCTCGGCCCACTCTCCCACAACCGCGCCAAGCCCACCGTGAGTCAGCAGCCGGTGAGTGGACGCCGGGGTTGTCTCGGGGCTTCCCACCGGGGTGGGGACCAGGAAGCCCCAGGGAGCTCCGAGCGGCCTGAGCCCCCGGCCCGGCCCCCCTCACACACACAGTGAGTCAGCAGCACCAGAGCCGGCTAGCCCGGCCCCACTCCGCCGCCGTGGACCGACACAGGCCGAGCTGGGCCGGTGGGGCCGGAGAGGGGGCGCGGCGACCTTTACCGATGGAGTGGAGGATGTCGATGGAGGCCTCCCGGTCGGTGCTGAGTAGAGACTGAGCTCTCTGGAACTCCACCACCGCCGCAGCCGCCATCTTACCGCTCTCACACCGTCCCCGGCCGAGGCCGCCGACGCCGGAAACACACGCCCGGAAGGCCCACCCTCGCGGCTCTCCCCACTCCCCTCATTTGCCCCGCCTCCTCCATTCCCAGAGCACCACGGGAGTTGTAGTCTCTCCGCGGGGCGGGGAAGGAGGGATGTAGGGGTGTGGATGAGAGCTGGGGAGCTTGCCGCCCACCAGCGAGGCTCTCCAGCACCGCCCAGCGGCTACCCACGAGTAAAAGAGGCGGTGTCTAGCAATAGGAGCCCGAGACTAATCCCCACCCACCCTAAAAGAGGCCTCTTAACCCCGACTCCCCTCGCTCGTCCTTGACGGAGTATTTGAGCACCCGGTGGGTATCCAGTGAAAGCTGTTTAGCTTTCTTTGTAGCTTCCACATTCAGCCATTCATTCACGGCAATAAATGATCGTATAAAGTGCTCGCTATGTGGCAGACAAAGAATAGCACCATTCAAATGCGTTCAAGTGTTCGGCAACACGTGGGACGCGCGCGCGCGCACACACACACACACACACACACACACACACACACTTTGCAGGCCACAATCCTACAGAATCCTAGCCACGCTGTGATTAAACGCACTGGTGTTAGAGAAAACTGATGTTAGAAAGTAAAATATCATCTTTGCCCCCATTCACTCAATCCCTCTTGGAGGGTCACATAGAAATCTAACAGCTACTCCAACTCCCCAGATCAATAAAGAAAAAACGGATTTTTCCTTCCAATGTCTCCAGTGCCTTCAACTAAAATCACAGATATCTGAAAAGCTGTTAAGGGAAAAAAAGACATTCTATGTGCCCACTGAGGGTTGAACTTAAAGGAGTACTAAAACGTATACAGGCAGTGCATTATGAGGAAGATCTTCCTGCAGGTGAAGACAATCCAAAAATGCAATATGCTGGGACTTCCCTGGTGGTCCAGTGGTTAGGACAACACCCTTCCAATGCAGGGGGCATGGGTTCAATCCCTGGTTGGGGAACTAAGATACTGCATGCCACATCTCCCAGCCAAAAAAAAAAAAAAAAAAAAATGTGGCCCCCTAAGGAACCCGGTAAAGGGACCCCTGTGCTCCGCAACGGGAGAGGCCACAACAGTGCCCCAATCCCCCAACAAAAAAAAAAAAAAAAAAAAATGTTGTCCCCTAATGGAACCTGTAAAGGGAACCAACTTTGCACTCCTCTGTGTCTGGGTTAGGCAATTTATATGTCTATTTCCTTTTACTTTACCAGCAATGTTCTATGAAGAATATATTATTTACACCCCATTTATAGATGAGGAAACAGGGGGTTTTAAGTGATTTGGTGAAGCTCATATGGTAATTGACAGCACTGAGATCTGAGAGTTAGGGAATGGGTTCCTAGTTCCTGGATGTGTTCAAATGAAAACTGGATAACATCTCATCAAGTTGTAAACAGGATTCATGACATTGATTGGGGAATTGGATAGAATGGCTTCTAAGTGTCTCCTAAAACTGAGCCTTTCTTTGCTCAAAAAAGGCATTCCTCACTTCTCAATTTGGTATGCAATTAATATTGTACCAGAATGTTAATAGGCTGTAAAATTCCAAAGCTGAGACCAACAGGCCATATGTATCCCCACCTTCTAAAGAAGCGTTACCAGCTACATCCCCAAAGAACTTGCTAAAAAGTGACTAGGCCAGTCCTGTAACCTTCATCCACTCCCAGCCTACATCAGGGAGACATAAAAATTTTAAAGGAATTCATTAGAAGAAATCATGGAATAGGACAGAGTGCTTACCTCACTACAAAAAGCGGGTACTACAAAAGACTAGGAGTGTCTGCCAAACCTCTCTCCCAAGCTGGTGAGTCTTGCTGACTGTAGGAAATGTTAAGTTCATCTCTGCGCAACCACCATTGTGAGAGTTGGAGGTGAACCAGGTATGTTTCTCCGGGAGTTTGGGGCCTTCGTGCACACTCATGAAAAGAGGCACCCACTTTTGGACTGCAGAATTCTAAATTAGTGAAGTTGGTTGATACACCCCACAACAGGACAAGGAGAAAGGGCAGCAGTGAGGCAGCCTCCACTACCTGTGTTTGACATGGGCCAAGTGCAAAAGTAGATTACCCAGGACCATCTTAAAAGGACCTACTCAGTAGGGCCATCTGCCAGAGTGAGGAGACCTATCATAAAAGGCTGGAATGATGGACTTCAGGAAGCATTCACTGAATGGGGATTGTGAGGTCCACCAGCGGAGCTGCCAAAGAACCCACAAGTGCTTTCAACAAGAGAGAATCGGCACCTATACTTTCAATCCAGTAACCATCATAGCACTCTGTTTTACTTTCTACCTAGGACATAACACAGTCTGTGATTTTATTATTTCACCTGTTTAAATCTCATCTCCCTCCACAAAGTTTCAGGGACCTCATCAATCTTGTCCAGTTATAGTCCCATCTCCTACAATAGCAGCTTGCACAAAGGGCAACCACTCAATAAATATTTGTTGGGTGATGAGTGCTAGAATCTGTCCTTCCACAATCTTCTGCTGCCCTAAATGTCCATGTCCTACACTATGTGACTATTCACTTGAGCCATTGCTGACTGGATTAGGGTGACTGTGAAAGGGCTGTCACAGATTAACCAGTGACCTAGGGCATATAGGGACTGGCCTGAAATGATTAGCTGGGCCAATACAATTCCTCCCTCGGGAACTGGGGAATTGAGACCCTGAGCCAGTTAGCCAAGGGAATGGAAATCAAAATCTGTCACTTGGAACCAACTAGAGCCAAGTTGGTAGAGAGAAAACTCAGTAGATGAGTGGAGAGAAGCAGGAATATCATGGAAGGAAATCCAAATACCTCCATAGAAGGCCACCTCAGCTCCTAACAACTTTCTACTTTCCAGTTCTTCTCCCATCAGGTCCACCCACACCATATTCCCCATTCTTGAAATACTGTGACATTTCCTTTCCAAATATCTTTCAATCCTTATTATTATGTGAAGAAGAAAGGTCCAGTGAGGTGTCATTATGTTTTTAATGGCTCTCTATTAAAGATATTCCTTCATCTTTCTTTTTAACAAAGTGAGAGGAGGCAACAGTATCTAGATGGAGTTTAGATTTCCTTGTTTTTGTTTTTATGGATACATTCTAGTTATGGCCAATAATACTACTGGTTTTCCATTGAAGGTAGAGACATAAAATTACAACGAAAAACAAAGTGGGTCAATTTAAATAACTTTTTCCATGTGGACATGGGAAAAGTCAGGAATATGTACAATAAGCAAATGACTATTTGGGCTAGAAAACCAAATCCTGATTTTAATATCACTGTGTAGACAGCCATCTACCTTTCCTTATCATTCTTTTTATTCCAGAATCACATCTCTAATTGGAAGACCCAGTTAGTCCTTTAGGTTCCTGCCCTAGATTTATAATCTTTAAAGATGACTTTCAAGTTACTCCTGGCAAAGGCACTACATGCTGTAGAAGAAGAGTACGGAATTTGAAGTCGGACAAACATGGAGCACAAATCTTTACTACCAACTAACTGTCAAATTACTTAAACTCTCTGAGTTTGGTCATCATTAAAATTATTTTAAAAATCCACTTCACTTTATGGTTGCACAACAATGTGAATGTGCTTAATATCACAGAACTGTGCACTTTAAAATGGTTAAAATTGTAAATTTTCTTATGTATGCTTTACCGCAATAAAGAAATCTACTTCACAGAAGTATTTGAAGATTATATTTTCAAAGACAGTGGAACACTTCACCACTATGACTGACACGTATAAGTGCTCATTAAATGGCAACTATTAAAATAATCATCAAGTTGCTGAATAAATTAGCTGTGGCACACACTACTCCCCTTCCTCAGAGAGCCTACTTGGAGGGCTAAGCAAATCTAACTGGTGATTTTTATAGCAATAGAGGGACAAACAACTGTCAGTTCTGTTTCCCATCTTAGACTTCCTCACCCTTTGTCTGGCCTCTTTTCCCTCTCTGTCAAGCTTCTTTCTGTCCCAAGACAACTCCCAAACACACTACAAAGCCCTAGTATCCCCTCATGCTATCTATAGTCCAAAGCTATTTCTTTCCTTTCTATACTTGTTAATTTTTCACTGAGCTTTCTTTGTATCCCATAGTTGAGCAAATAGGGAAATGCTATAATGTACTATCCTGCTAATACGAGAGTATATACTCCTCCTCTTTCTTCTGTGCCTATACTCTGTGCAGCAGACAGGAAGCTAAGGTTAAGAATTCTAAGCTAGTACTGATCCCTCAACTCTACACATTCCCTGCCATTGGAGCTATAGAGAGAGAAAGAGAGAGAGAAAAAAATAACTAAAGAGTACACAAAGTGTGTCATTATTATCTTTTCACCCCTCTTTGGAAATCCTTCTCTCTCACACTGCCGCCTCTCCCCAGACTTCCAATACCTTGCTGTATTTGTGTTTTATTATGGTTCTCCTTCAGTGAAAGTCTATCAGTGATAAACTTTGTCTTTGACTGAAATGTCTTTATTTTACTCTCATTCTTAATTGATCGTTGCAGTGGGTACAAAGTTCCTACACTGACACTTATTTTTACTCAGCATTTCAAAGATATTAAAGATGACTCTTCTCAGTCTAATTGAAGTTCCTTCATAGGTAATCTGTCTTTTCTCTTTGGTTAATTTTAATATCTCTTCTGTCCTAGGCTCGCTACAGGTTCACTACAAAGTATTTACACTCTGATGAAGACTTTCTGAGTCTGAGGATTCATGCCTTACATGAATCCTGGAAATTTCTCAACCATTATCTCTTCACATACTGCCTCCTCTACCTCTCTTCTCTCTGGAAATCTTTTTAGACATAAGTTAGATCTACATTGTCCAACACAGTAGTCACTAGCCACATGTGGCTAGTGAGCACTTGAAATGTGGCTAGTCCAATCTGAGCTGTGGTACAAATGCAAACTATCAATACACACTGGATTTTATTAAAGACAGCATGGAAAAAAAGTAAAGTATCTCATTCACAATTCTTTTTTTTTTTTTGTGGT